AACACTCACTCTCTCTCTCTCTCTCTCTCTCTCTCTCTCTCTCTCTCCTCTCTCTCTCTCTCTCTCTCTTTTTTGTACTGGGGATTGAATTTAGGACCGTGAGTTTGCGAGGCAGGCACAGGTACCATTGAGCTAAATCCCAGGCCCCTGGACAACTTCTCTTGAAATCTCTATGATTTGAGTCCAGTGTCAGCTGTGATGGGCACATCTGATGATGAATGACCAATCTGTTTTCTACAGTAAAGACCCATCTGGTTTTATTTATTTGTTTTTGGTACTGGTGATTGAACTCAGGACCTTGTGCTTGTGAGGCAGGTGGCGTCATCTGGTTTTACACCAATAAGTCTCATATGCACAATAGTATCTGGTATCCAAAACCCCATTTTTCATGTTGATACCATAATTTATATTTATAATAGTTTTTTACCTCTTCACTTCTTAGACTTTTCTTGCTATTTTTATACTCATCTTCAATTTGCTGTCACCTGAGTCACTTTCTGTGGCAGCCACATTCTGAAAGTTTTCATGCATCACATTTTTGGAATTGGCACAAAAAGCCCATTCCTCCCTGGTGGAGTTTACAAGCACACCCTCAAAGTGTGGCCTCCATTATGTGGCTTGAGGGTCTCCTAGGGTCCTTCCCTTGCAGCCTGCAGCAGTAGAAACTCCAGAGCAAGACAGTCTTGTCAGCTGGGGAGGCTTGCCAATATGCTCGGAATCAGTCCTTGCCAGGCTTGTGTTACCCTTGTCCCTACCCATTCCTCTGCTTCCTATTTATTCACGTCATTTCATCTGTAAAAATTGCAGAGTGTTTATTAAAGATAATTGATTTTTTTTTTGAGGGGGGTGGTTTTTTTGAGACAGGGTCTCACTATGTAGTTGAGACTGATCTGGAACTCATTTTGTAGCCCAGGCTGGTCTCGAACTCACAGCGATCCTCCTGCCTCAGCCTCCCGAATGCTGGGATTACAGGTGTGTGCCACCATGCCTGGCAAAGATAATTGATTTTCATATAAAGGATTTCTTAATCGTGTAGTACATGCTTTATAAGTGTCATCACTTAACACAGTCTTCACCTGTACACTTGCATTTTCATTTTATAACACTTCACAACTTTACCAATAGGGGGCACTTGAAGACTGGGAGGATTATTATTCAAAAGCAGGATGAGTACAGAGACCTTTTGATCTTTTACTGTAACCCAAAGTCATAATTCTCCCCCTACCCCTTAAAAAAAAAATCTCTTTGGTGTATCTAGATGCAAAGCAAAAGATTCGACAGGCCTGGAAGTCGTGGTTGATCTATGTGGCTGTTCGTAGGACCAAATTTCAGATGCAGACTTCTGCTCTGGAGTTTAGGCAACAGAATATTTTACGGTAAGTATGCTCAGTTCTTTATGCTACTTTAACCCAACCTACAGCAGTTTTTTTTAAGAGGAGGAAAATTTATTGAAAGGGCTCCTGAAAAACAGAAGGGGATATGCTGGGCGTGGCAATGCATGCCTGTAATCCAGGCACTACGGAGGCTGAGACAGGAGGATCGCTGTGAGTTCGAGACCAGCCTGGGCTACATAGTGAGTTCCAGGCCAGTCTCAAGTACATAGTGAGACCCTGTCTCAAAAAACAAACAAAAAACAACAACAACAAAAAAAAAAACTGAAGGGGAATCCAGAAATGAATTTCCAAACAGCTAAATCCCCGGCTTAAAAATTCATTTTATTTAATTTTTATTTATTTATCTTTTGGGGGGTACTGGGAATTCAACTCGGGTCCTTGCGCTTGCAAGGCAGGCAGTGGAACTGCTGAGCTAAATCCCCGGCCCTCATTTTATTTTTATATAAACTGAAATAAAGGGCCGGGGATTTAGCTCAGTGGCACCGCACTTGCCTTGCAAGCACAAGGTCCTGAGTGTGATCCCTGGTACCAAAAAAAAAAAATTGAAATAGAAACACCATATATAGTATTGCAGAGTGATCTTTAAATGCCATTACTTCATTGAAGAGTGGTGATACATACATTGAAGGGACTAAGGGGACAGGAAGACTACAAAACAACAGAAAACCACTACTGTTTCTTGGCACTTTAAACTATGAACTAAAAGGTAAGATCCTGTACTTTAAATAAAAACATAGTTATGATTTACAACATTTTTCTACAACCGTAACTCTCAACTAATATCATTAATATCAGTAAAAAAACTATTAATGTTAGATACAAATGTCAGAATGTATCACGAGCTGATTTTAAAATACTCAGAATGCCAGGCGTGGTGGCACATGCCTGTAAGCCCAGCACTTGAGAGGCTGAGGCAGGAGGATTGCTGTGAGTTCGAGACCAGCCTGGACTACATAGTGACTTCCAGGTCAGTCTCAACTACACAGTGAGACCCTGTCTCAAAAAAAAAAAAGGGGGGGGGAGATTTATGTACTTTTTCCTCAAAGTAAAATAAAATTCTTTCCTGATTCTTTTGATAATCATTCTCCCAGCTTTAATCACCTGCTGTAACTCATCAAGATAACCCAATCATGTTAAAATTTGCAAGTATGTTTTCTTAATAGATTGTAGATAGATCCAGTCTGTCCCCCAGATTTGTGTCTTTCATATCTAAATGAAGACTAGACATTAATATTCCAACTGCTTGTGATCTTTTGTTGCTTAATAATTTGACAACTTGTTTGGCCGTCATCCTTGAGATGTGTCAGAAGTAGGTGGATTTCTTTCTCTCCTTCACAGCAGTTTTTTAAAAAAATCTCAAATTCGTGACAATCTATGGCTGGCTCTTCAGTGTTTTCCCAAATAATTGAAGGACTGGAGTCTCACAATGGAGGAGGTGGAGGGAACCCAACTCCAGGAAGGGGAGGGGACGGTGGTACTCCTGCCGGAGAAGGGGCGGGGAGGGGATACAGTGAACCGTACAGTGCACTGCTTCATGACGGGCTGACTCCCCTGACCCTAGTCATTCTCTGGGTCCTCAGTGGCAGTATTCTAGAAACTTGAGCCAGGCGTGTTTTTGCATGCCTGTAACTCCAGCACTTTGTGAGGCTGAGGCAAAAGAATTCCAAGTTTCAACTCAGGCTAGGTAGCCTAACAAGATCCTGTCTCTAAAGGAAGGGAAAGGAAGGGAAAGAAGGACAAACTGGGGGTGTAGCGCAATGTGAAGGCCCTAGGTCCAGTCCCCAATACCACATGCACGCAGAGACCTGGATCCCTGGACACTGAATAAAGCATAGACAGCTTTGCAGATACATGGACTGTTGGAGCATTTCCCCGCTCCAAATCTTTTCTCATTTGTGAAATGGGTGCACTGTTAACTTTCTCAGAATTGTCACTGGGAATAAGGTGTAATATGTGTAAAATAGCAGTGCTGAGAAAATCAGTAAACATGAAGTTATTTAAATAAAAAGGTACTTGAACTTTATTCAGGAAGTATTTTAAAATGCTTAGTATGCAGTTCTACGTGATTCTGGGGGCGGGTCATTTTATATAATTTGTTTCCTCAGTGTGTACCTGTTGACCGAGAATGTTCTGGTACCATATTGGTGCGGTGCCCACACTCGGAGAACTTATAATTCCTTAAGTGCTTAAAAAGAAAAGTAAGTGGTAATGAAAGATAGCCGAAGATTTTGAAGCAAGCAGTACAACTGAGCGTGCTCTGCTGGTAGGTAGAGAGGAGTCTTTGGAAGTCGAACGACCAAGCCAAGCAAGTTGTTTTTGTAACGTGGTGGTTGTAGGCTCTCACTTTCTTTTTCTACAGCAAAATAGAAAATAAGTGGAAAAGAAACCAAGACTGATAGGAAAACCTGGCCAGGACAGTGAGAAGAGAAGACTGAAAATCTAAAATCCACTTTTTTTTTTCCAGATTATTCAGTAAAATCTCCTGATGTTTAAATGTTGGCAGTAACTCAAAATTTTAGAAAAATAAACCATGTAGGCCGGATTATGTCTGTATTGCCTAAGGCTGGATCTGAGGGTAGAAATCGTGGATCTCCAATCCTTCATTAGCAATTCTAGGACTTTTTTTTTTTTTTTTGGTACCAGGGATTGAACTTAGACTTGTAAGGCAGGCACAGCACCCCTGAGCTAAATCCCCAGCCCTTGAACTCACTTTTTTTTGGGGGGGGGGGATGTTCCAGGGATTGAACCTAGGACCTTGCGCTTGCGAGGCAGGTGGTGGAACCGCTGGGCTAAATCCCCGCTCCTGAGCTCACTTTTTGAGTTCAAGGTCTGCCGATACCACAGGGATCCTCCTGAGTGCTGGAATTACAAGCAGGTGCCACCGTGCCCAGGCTGACCTGTTGCGTCTTTGATTTGCTCTTTCAGGACGTGGTGGAACAAGTGGAGGCAGCAGCTAGGACGGGCCCGCATGAACCACGCTTTCTGTGCCACAGCCGTGAAGCACAGGGCCTTGGGCCTCCAGCTGCAGGTGAGTCCGCCGGACTTGTGTTTGATCTTCTGTCCCTGTCATGAAGCCCTACGCTCATAGAGGGCAGAGTCGGACTCCAGGGGGAAAAAATCCTGCTACTTCCTCCCATTTGGAGGGCAGCTCGGGGGTGGTAGAGAGAGTTTGGGCAGAAGCAGGACGGAAGATGGCTAGGCTCAGTCAGAGTCCTGCTGTTAGGAATAGAAAGATACTTATCTTAGACGTAATTCCCGTGGTATGTAGAGAATTTCTGATAACTGGAGCCAAAAGGGATTTAGGAATTAATTACAAACTCTTTAAAGAGACAGTGATATTCTTTATTTTCTCATTACTGTTTTTCTACAACAAATCAGAAAATAATGCAGTTATTGTCCAAGCCTTTTGGTGCATGCCTGTAATCCCAGCCCTTGAGGGAGGCTGAGGCAACAGGATTGTCTCAGTAGAGAATTTCTGATAACTGGAGCCAAAAGGGATTTAGGAATTAATTACAAACTCTTTAAAGAGACAGTGATATTCTTTATTTTCTCATTACTGTTTTTCTACAACAAATCAGAAAATAATGCAGTTATTGTCCAAGCCTTTTGGTGCATGCCTGTAATCCCAGCCCTTGAGGGAGGCTGAGGCAACAGGATTGTCTCACAAAAAAGCCCTGCTTCTTTTTCATTGTACTTTTGCTGCAGAGGTTTCTTTTATGGAAGTCAGTAGATTTTGGTCTGTTATAAAGACTTACAGCTTATCCAACCTATACAAAACTATGGTATGGTAAAAACGGTATGACCTTTAGCCAGGTGTGGTGGCGCACATCTGTATTCCCAGCACTCAGGAGGCTGAGGCAGGAGGATCGGTGTGAGTTCAAGACCAGCCTGGGCTACATAGTGAGACCCTGTCTCAAAAACCAAAAAATAAAAAATAAAAAAGAGATTCAAGTGACCTGTAGACCAAAGCAAATCAAAAGGGACCACACCAGCTGTGGTGTTAGGAATAGATCAGAAAAGATCTAGGGTAAAAAAAGGGAGAAAACTGGGGTTGTGGCTCAGTGGTAGAGTGCTTGCCTAGCATGTGTGAGGGCTTCGGTTTGATCACCACCACTGAAAAACAGAAACAAACAAACAAAAAATACTGTTAAAAAATTCCAGGTGGGCCAGGCATTTAGCTCAGTGGCACCGAGCCTGCCTTGCAAGCACAAGGTCCTGAGTTCGATCTCCAGTACCAAAAAAAAAAAAAAAATTCCAGTCAAAATTTTGAACAAGGATAATAGAAAGATGGTAATTACATTCTGGATATATTTGAAGGAGTAGCCAACAGGACTTGCTAGCAGATAGTATGAAAAGTTCGAGTCCAAGATGACTCCAAAGTTGGGTTAAAGAGCTAGGACAGTGGTGTTTCCATTTACTGAAAGGAGGGTGACTGGGAGGGAGAAGAAACTTGCTGAGAAGGTGTTGGGAATGAGTCTGAACTCCACCTCCTCAGCCTGACAGGGGTTTTGAGTAACCCTCTGTGGCGTGATGTCAAGGAGACAGACAGTGGGGTATTGGAGAGGGCTTCAGGCAGGAGACCTGCACCCGGGAGTCCTCAGCAGCCATGTGGCGTTCAAGGCCGTGAAACTAAGATGGAAGGAAAAAGGGAATGAAAGAAGTTAGAAGTTTCGAGACTGAGCCTGTGAGTCAGCAGCAGCAGTAGGAAAGTGCCTTCGGGTACAGAAACCAGGCAAAGAAGAAAGGAATGATCTCTACCATGTCAGACACTCCAACAGGTCAGGGAAGGCGAGGGCAGTTTCGACCTTTGCCTTGAGCAACTGGAGATCGTTGATAAAATTGATAAATGAAGTCTCAGCTGACAGGAGGAGTAGGTTAGGGAAAGCCTGCTGTGGGAGGAGGTGGAGGATAACTTTTGAGGAGCTTGGAAAATAAAGAACTGGAGTATTGGCTGGGTTGCAAAAAGTGCCCTCTCTGTTGAAGGGTTGCTTTTAATCACTTGAGCCTTTCAGGATGTATTTTTTTGACAGTCATCTCTTCCCCCAAACTTTTTATTTTTGAAAACTATCAAAGCACTACTGTAAAAAAGTGAATACTGTATATACTTCACCTAGTGTAACCCGTTGTTAATATCTTGCCCTGCGTGCTTTTTCCTTCTTAGGTACAGAAATGTATAAGAAATGATCTCACTTATCCAGACCACCCCCAGAAAAAGTTGGAATCTAGAGGCAGTGAAAGTGAGGCTTTTGATCCAAACTTGTAAGAGTGGCGCCTGTAACAGACAGGCACACTCTAGTTGAGAAGTTGTGTGTTTTTATTCCTAGCTCACAGGAGTCTCTCCCTCCATCTCTCATGGCAGGGGATCTGGAGTTCATAGTCTGTGCTGAGCAGTTGATTTCATCTCTCACCTGTTTCCCTCCTCCCTCTATTTCTCTCTCTAGTTATTTTTAGCCTGCTGGATTCCCAGGATTCTAGAATACTCTTATCTCTGGAGTCTTTGTACAACCTGAGTGTTTTTATCTGCTGGTTGACTGAGCTAAAGTCTATGAATCAGCGATTATTGGGGCCACCTACTTTCTGGTCCCCCATCTGCCTCTCTTAGAAGCTATCCTTCTTTCAGTGCATTTTTTTCTACTCTTTTCTTTTTTTTTGGTACCAGGGATTGAACTCGTGCTTGTGAGGCAGGCAGCAGAACCACTGAGCTAAATCCCCGGCCCATTTTTTCCTACTCTTAAAAAAAAGCGGGGGGAGCCTTATTAGAGTTCATGAAATATGGGCCAATTAGAAATATTTGCATCTCTTACAATCTATTTTGTTTTCTGAGCCACTTGAAATTGTAGGCCTGAGGTTTATGCTAAATGCCTCTTACGTCTTCTAAAACCAAGGACATTCTATGAGTGCTTCTGAGACATTTAATGTTGATATAGTGATATGTGGTAAACAGTTCATATTAAAACTATGCATTATTTTTTGTGTTTAGTGTGGAGTTCAAAGTTTACCCATTGCTTCTGATTATCATCACATCTTGAAAGGACGTTTTTAGAGAAATAATAGTACCTTAACCTACTGACTTTTACAATTTAGTAAACAGTGAAAACTGAGACTGCGGTAAAACAGTGATTGCCAGAGCAATAAACTTGAGAGGGCCGGGGAACATGGGATGGCGCCATAATGGAGGGTGATCCGTGATGGCAGTGTAGGTGGTTTATCCAGAGCAGGGGAAGAGACAGAGGTGGGGGCTTGGTGGGCACAACCCGTGGTGGGACCTGGAGGAAATTCTCTCAATCGCTTATATGGTTTGGTGGAATAGGAAGAGTGGTAGTCATCTGAAAGAAGGGAAGGCGAAAGAGGTATTAAAAGGTTTAAGCAAAGAAGATACGGCCATTGTGTTCTCTCTTGCGCGATGGCCCACTCTCACGCTGTAGGGTGTATGCCTTTTCCTACTTTCGCTTTGCCCAAACTTGCTCTGCAGAGCTTGTTTCTCTTCCTACCTTTAATAAAACTTTGCTACCATTAAAAAAAAAAGATACAGAATTGTTGTCTGAGTCATCTTCAAACTAGGGCATGCATTATTGCTGATCATACTTTCCCAGGGCTGCATCTTTATAGATAGTCTTTCTTTCTTTCTTTCTTTATTTTTGAGGGTCTCACTACGTAGTTCAGTTTGAGCTGGCCTTGAACTCATTGTATAGCCGAGGCTGGCTTCAAACTTGCTTTGATCCTCCTGCCTCAGCCCCTGGGCTGGGTATCACAGCTGTGAGCTGGGTGCTGGGGGTTACAGGTATCTGCCACCGTGCTCGGCTGTGTATAGATAGTCTTAATTTCTCTTATAGACCTTCGGGTTAGACACACGTAGATACACGTCCCTGAGATAAATCCGTCTGAGGGCTTCTTCATTGGCTTCCTCCCTGCAGAAGAATAGGCAGCCCCTCACCTATCCCAAATCTGAAGTAATTATGTCCCCGTCACATTGTCGCCGCTGCTTGTCTGCACAGTGACTATTACTTGTGTGTGTGTGTGTGTGTGTGTGTGTGTGTGCGCACGCGCTCATGCTTTCTGCTAAACCACACCCCAGGGCTCCTTTTGCTCCCTAAATTCGTAAATGTATTACTTTCTGGAAGCAGAATGCCTTTCTTAAACATCTTTCCACTCCAGACTCCCGTAGTTTTGATCCTGGTAGGAAATGACCACTGCCCGTCTGTCCTCAGCCTTTCCAGTGTGTGTCTGTTGTTTCTTTCCCCTCTCACGTGCTCTTCCCCCATCTTCCTGCCTCTCCCTTGACCGTGTCTTTATTCTGGATTTCAGGCTTGGTCTCGGTGGAAGGAACAGCTTCTGCTGAGCCAGAGGGAGAAATGGAAGGTGGTCTTAGCAGTGCGACATCATCAGTGGTGGCAAAAGAGGAAGTCCCTGAGGGCCTGGCTTGAATATCTGAACGTGAACCGAATACGACGACAGCAGAATGGTGAGTAGAAGCCCCTTTGCCCAAGACACAGAAGTTGGGCCCAAGATCCATTCATCTTCCTGCTGCCAGTGGTACTTTATGAAGAATATAGCCACACATTTTTGTGAAAGGAAATTGGGGAGAAAACTACCTCATTCCGTTTTCTCTTTATGGAGTTCTTTTTGGTGAGAAAAGATCTTGGTGTGTAGTTCAAGCTGACTTTGAATTTACTGCATGGCTCAGGCTGGCCTCAAACTCTCAGTGATCCTCCTGCCTCAGCCTTCCAAGTGCTGGGATTACAGGTATGTGCTGCCATGCCTGGCAAAAATTACCTCATTCTCGGGGCCGGGGATGCAGCTTAGTGGTGTTGCACCTGCCTGGCAAGTGCAAGGTCCTGAGTTCGATTCCCAGTACCACCAAAAAAAAAAAAAAAAAAAAACCCCAAAAGAGCAAAACCACATCGTTCTCAATTCACATTTATTTCTTTGTGGCCTTTATTTTTGTTGTAAAATACATATATTTTGTTCAAATAAGATTCTAACGGTGATTAAAGCGTGTACTTTATGTCGGACAAGGCTGTTGACATTGTGATTAATTTGTTACCTACACTTTCGTATTATGCTTTTGTATACTGTACCATGTCTATTCATCATTTTTCATAAATACTATGTGTAAATGAGTATTCCTGTTTTATAGGATGGCTTACTTTAATTTACTTAATCTTCTCGTACTGACAGATGCTTTGTTTCTATTTGTCCTCAGTTACATAAATGGATGTGAGTTATGGTTTCTTTAATACTATTCATGTGGTTTAGTTTCAGAGCTAGTTTCAGAAGTAATGACATGTAGGAACATGATCATTGGTGCACATTTTTTACTTAAATTTTTATTTATTTATTATTTTTTGTGGTACTGGGGATTGAACTCAGGACCTTGTGCTTTAAAGGCAGGTGTAGCATCATGAGCTGCATCCCTGGCCTTTCTTTTTTGTTTTTTTTGAGAGACAGTAGTTCAGGCTGGCCTTGAACTCACTGTGTAGTCCAGGCTGGCCTCAGACTTGCAGTGATTCTCCTGCCTCCGCCTCCCAAGTGCTGGAATTACCACCATATATGGCTGACCTTAAGTTTATTGAGTTTACACAAAAGTGAGTCAGGCACTGTGCTAGACACTGGCTATGTTTTCCAGTGTCCCGTGTCCCTTAGCGGAAGTATCCTAGGCTGCTAACACTTCCTGGAGAGAGTTTCACAGTATTGGAAGGTAGTGACAGCAGACCAAACGTGCAGTTTCCCAAGGCTGGAAGATGCAGGCAGAAGCTGTTTAGCATGATGAGCCACAGGCTAGCGCTTGCTCCAGCTACAGCATTACAATTCTAGAACTGATTGCTTTCCACTTTCCTGGCTTTCACTTATCAGGCCATTACCTGACTAATTTTTAAGAGATGTACCTGACAGCCAGGGTCAGCCAGGCTGAAAGCTCAAGAAAGCCTTTGCCACACTGCTCCAAGGGCTGCGTGTCATCAGCTCAGTTCCCAAGCCCTGTCCAGGGGTCATCCACACAGAGGCAGAGGTAAAACAGCCTTCTTTGAAAGCACCAGTTGTGGCTCCTGCTCACTGGTAGTTAACTGCAAGTGTCAGCCCTTGGATAGAACTGATTTTATTTCATTCTCCTCCCTAAATCATTAATCTTTCTTTTTCCTTGGAGAGAGGAGAGGTAGCTCAGGGATTCCTAATTACCTGCCTTGTGAAGGGGGTACTGGGATCAAACTCAGAGCCTCAAATATACCAAGGGTGTGTGCTGTACCAGTGAACAACATCCCCGGCCTAAAAACCCATAAGGATTCTTTGTGGGAGGAGCCTTGAATCTCAGCCCTCCGCCAGCAGTGGAGTTTACTTCATCTGACATTTTCCAGCTCATCTCCCGCCTGTGGGGAGCAGCACCTAAATCGCACTTTTCCATTGCAGAGATGGCTGAGCGATTGCATCGTGTCACCGTGCTCCAGATACACTTCTGTGACTGGCGGTGGGCCTGGGAGCAGAGGCAGAGCTTGTGTGCCCACCGAGCCCTAGTGGAAGCGCTGAGGAGGAAGATGGCCCTGCGGAGGGCCTTCTTGCACTGGCGGCATTGTATCCTTTCCAGCCACCCAGGCCTGTCATCCGCCTCAGGCAATAGGAATAGCCTGAGCTGAACTGCGAGTAAAACAAATATCAAGAGGAAGGAAGTAGTGACCGAGCAATTTAAGACAGCTTTATCTGTGTTGATTTCTTTAAAGGTGGTTTAACTGGGGCTCTGCAAGCAAATGGTACTTTCAACATATATTTATAAAAAGAACCAATAACCAACTTAAGAAGAGAGTTTCTAGCAACCCTGTCTACTTCTCCCAAATTGCAAGCCTTTTTTTTTTTGTACCGGGGATTGAACTCGGGACCTTGCACGTGTGAAGCAGGCAGCAGAACCACTGAGCTAAATCCTTGGCCCTGCAAGTCTTTTCTGGACACTCCCTTACCCCTCCCCAGATAGTTTTATCCTTTATTTCTTCACTTACTCGTTTTCTCTACCCACCAGGTGTCAGAAATAGCCACACCGGTGCGTTTTGTTATTGTTTTGAGACAGGGTCTCGCTATGTAGTTCAGGCTGCCTTGAACACACTGTGTAGCCCAAGATGGCCTTGAACTCGTGATGATTCTCCCACCTCAACTTCTGGAGTACTGAGATTACAGGTGTGTGTCACCATGCCTGTTTCTTAGTGACACCATCACATGATCATAACTTTGATTTATTTGAGCTTTCACTCTCTGCGGGCATTATGCATTATTCTCAATTCTTGCAGCAGTCTTGTAGTTGGTGTCACCGTCTCCATTTATAGATGGAAGCAGATTTAAGAAGCTAAGTGATTTTCCGAGTTACAGTAAGTGTTCTAAATGGCGTGTGTGAGGCCACTTGGAAACGGCTTTGTGAGAAAAAAGGTTTATTCCAGTCCAGGTGTGACTCGAGACTGAAATTGGGGGCAGATAGCAGAAGCTAGCTGGGAAGAGCTGAGTTTGTTAAATCCCTGTGTGGATGGGCTGACATTAAGATAGATACCAGCAGCTAGCTAAGAGAGAAGAGAGATCAGCAGTTAGCTGAGAAAAGGACTAGCCTTATCTAGGGCTCGAAAAGGGAGCAATGATCATAGGGAATGTTTGTGACTGAGGGTCCAAGGATGGTCAGCGCCGGTGTACAGACGATCGCTGGACTTCTTGGTGCCAGGGAGATTGTATATTCCATCCTGGATTTTCTTTACGCCCATCTTTCCTAGTAGCCTGTTTGCAGAAAGTGGCCTCTTTGCTTGTGAAGGTCTCATTCAAGCCAAGCATGACAGTAAGTCGTGCACATGTTCTATATCTATGCACATGTTCTCTCTCTCTGTTTTTTTTTTTTTTTTTTTTTTTGTACCAGGGATCGAACTCAGGACCTTGTGCTTGCAAGGCAGGCGCCAGAACCAGTGAGCTAAATCCCCGGCCCTGCATATGTTCTTAATCACTGTCCTACCACATTGTGTTCGAATGTGAGAATTTGGACTGCCCTTTTGATATTTATCCACATATTCATTTGTTAATTAGAGAAAGTCCTTTTTTGTGTGTGTGTAAGTCCTGTTTAAGTTCTGCTTTACAGGGAAATTGAAAGACTAATAGCATTTATTGTCTGTGGGGAAAATAGACATGATAAAGAATTCTAGCTGGGCGTGGTGGCGCACGCCTGTAATCTCAGCACTCAGGAGGCGGAGGCAGGAGGATCGCTGTGAGTTTGAGACCAGCCTGGACTACACAGTGAGTTCCAGGTCAGTCTCAACTACATAGTGAGACCCTGTCTCAAAAAAAAATTCTAACAGTAAGTGCAGTCATGAAGATTTGTGTCACATTCCTTGAGAGTCACTGTGGAGATTCAAGCAAGGAGGTAATGTTTGAGCTGAATAAAAACCTTAGAAATGACAAGTGGTCCTGGCAGAGAGGTAGGGAAGGGAATTTCGGTTGGAAGGAACAGTGTTTACTCAGGCTAACAGATGAGAAAAAGCATTCCAGAGCCTGTAGAGAGGTGTTGGCCATGGCTGGCTGGTGAGAGGATCGATGAAAGCCGGGTACTGGCCTGTAAGGCCCATGTGGACAGTGCTCAAGACTTTGGGTTTTATCCTAATGGCGCTGGGGAGCCTCTGGGTGTGTCATGAGAGAAGCAGTGCAGTTAGATGTGAGCTGTAGGAGGAGCACTTCCGCAGTGGAGAAGAGAGGGCTGCTCAGGAAGACGAGCCCACGTGTAGCCCCACGTGTAGAGTCGTACTTGCAGTCATGCGAGGGCTAAGTCTCATGAACCGCAGGGACAGAGGAGACAGAACGGGTTTAGGAGGAGAGCAGGTGGGCTAGGTGTCTGAGTAGATTAGAGAGTGTGGGAGAAGAACGGTTTTGAAAATAGCTCAGGGGCCGGGGATTTAGCTCAGTGTTTCCGCCACCTGCCTCACAAGCTCAAGGTCCTGAGTTCGATCCCCAGTACCAAAAAAGAAAATAACTCAGATTTTTAGCTCAGACGTCTGAGTGGAACATGATAGCAAAACAAAATGCAGAGAAGGATCAAGTTAATGCTTGCGATATGGTGATTTTAAGATGTTCACTAACATTGGTGGCAGCTTAATCTCAGGTACTTTTCACTTCTCATCATATGGGCATCCTGGGGACGAGAGACAAGGCCAGCTGTAGGAACATAAAATAGTTCCCCTTTTCCCACTGCTTCCCTGGGTCACCACAAGGAGAGAGGGGGACATCAGCCCACCTGGCAGGCCTGTTACTTCTGCAGCCAGGAGCCTTCATGTGGGTCTTGGGGAAACTGGCGGGGGGTAGGACCTTGTGAAGACCGGAGGCCTTAACTTCCTGGCGGATGTGTCACTGTGTTCAGAAGAAACTGCCCAGCGTGAGGTTGCAGAACGGCACCATCGGCACAGCCTGCTGGTAAGAGCACTGCAGCCTAGCGCGGTTTTGCTCCTCAGCCTCGATTGCGTCTGTATCAGGGGATCCTGTCTACACTGGCTCTACTGAGCAGCCACTTTGGAGTTAAGTTCAGGCGCACAGCCCTCTTCGTATTGTGAATATCCTTGATTGCATTTCGGATCAGAGAAATGCATGGTGTGGGGCCAGAGGGATCCGGAGCTTAGAGATGATCAGATCCTGGGGGCTTCTACGTGGTGGGCCCCTTTTTAATGGCAGAGCCTAACTTGTAGCAGAGCTCCAGGGCACAGTGCTGAGCTTGAATCAAGGTCTGGGAGCAAGTTCTGGTTCTGCTGGCTCCTCTCCCCAAGGTCTTTGAGAGGCCTCTTGGATTCCACAGAACACAGTATGAAAACCTCTAACCCACTTTTGTCTCAGAAAACTGAAGCCCAGGTTCAGAGAGGTGCAGGCAAGGGCTTTGCTTAGGCCATAGAGGAAGCATTCATTGATGAGCTGGAGGCAGAGCCCCGCCCCAAGCGCCTCATCCCCAAGGATTCCTTCTATCCCACTCTAGCCAAATTGCATTTATAGTTATAGAAATGTGTGCAGTTACTTTTACATGGCAAAAAACAAGAGCAAAACTTTGGCTGGGGATTGAGCTCAGTGGTGCCGCGCCTGTCTTACAAGTGCACGGTCCTGAGTTCAATCCCCAGTACTGAAGGAAGGAAAGAAAAAAAAGCAAAACCTACCATAGGCAAAATGCCTGTGCTTTGTTTTGAGAGGCAATGATTGATGTTTGATCTCTGACGGTAGAATTCTCATCTAGGTTATGGGATCCTCTTGGTCAGATGTGAGGGTGGGTTTGTTCCTGTGCAGCACTGTGAACAGTGGGGATTGCTTTAGCCAGGATTAGTGAGTGCCTGCTTGTATTATGCTCCTGGTTAAATCTCAAAGCAAAGAAACTGAGGGAGATTGGAGTGGCCCTGAGCTTTTCCCCCTCTGATTTCAGGCAGTGTTTCCTTTGCCTCTACTTACTTCTGTAAACACGACTGACTCTTTATAATCACTTGTGTTCTTTACATAGATTTACTGCTTTAGAGCCCTGAAAGACAATGTGACCCAAGTCCATCTCCAGCAAATAAGAAGGAATCTTGCACACCGGCAGCACGACATGATGGTGAGGGCTATTTTCTATTTCACAGGACCCTTTCTAATGGTCATTCTGTGTTTGTAACCTTTGAGCTCAGAAATTTGTCCAGATTTTAGACTCCAAAATTTTAGTGCTCATTTTCCTTTGGTAATCTGTACCTGCTAACAGAAAATTTGTTTTCGCCTCATTTCACCCCCCTTTTTTGATACCAGGGATTGAACTTGGGTCCTTGCGCTTGTGAGGCAGAACCTCCGAGCTAAGTCCCCGGCCCTAATCCCATTTTTAATCTATTTGCTAAGAAAATTAATAGTTGACGCAGAGACTAAGGTCATGGATTTTAACTGTGAGATAGGGGATTTGGTAATATGCATACATTCGGTCCTGCAATATAGGAGGCTGTGTTTGTTTTCATTGTAACTATTTGCTTCAGTAGTTATATATATACCTGAAGTCAAAAATAGTAGTTATATACCTGAAGTCAAAAAGCTGCTCTTGCTGGGCATGGTGGCATATGCCTGGGGAGGCTGAGGCAGGAGGATCACCACAAGTTCAAAGCCAGCCTGGACTACATAGTGAGTTCAGGGCCAGCCTGAACTACAAAGGGAGACCCTGTCTCAAAAAAACTGCTCTCTGTAAATTTTGTTTCTAAGGATAGGGGGATGGAATTTGTTGTTGTCTTATGCAAATGTTCAAACATACGGGAACACAGAATATATACTCATGACCTAGATTCAACATTTATTAATATTTACTGTATCTGCTTTAGTTTTTTCCATGAATAATTTCCAAGAAAAATTATAAAGCATTATAAAAATTATAAAAATTATAAGCGTCATGATGCTTTGCACCTAAACATTTCAGCAGGCATCACCCCCACAATAAGGCTAGTTTCTTACATAACCACAATATCCTTATTAACCCAGCAGAATAAACAGCAATTTTAAAATATTATCCAATATCCAATCCATATTCAAATTCTCACAGTTGTCCCCAAAATGGTTTTTATATTTTTTTGATTTTAATAAAAATCAGGATTTAATTAAAGAATATTCCTTATATTTAGTTATTATGCCTCTTTTTTGTGTGTGTGGTTTTTTTTGTTTTTGTTTTTGTTTTTACCAGCGATTGAATTTGGGACTTTGCATTTGTGAAGCTGGTGGCAGAATCACTGAACTAAATTCCTGGTCCGTTATTCCTCTTAAAGTTCTTAATTTAGAGCTGTTTACTCCCCAACCCCAGTGTACTTTTTTTTTGCACATCTATTTTTTATATTTTTTAATTGTAGCAGAATACGCACACCATAAAATCTATCACCATAACCATTGTGAAACATACAGTTCAGTGGTTTTAATACATTCACGTTGTGTACCATAACTGTTATCCCATCTTTAGAACTCTCTGTCTTGCAAAACTGCCACTATACCTATTAAACATGAACTCCTCATGGCTTCCTCCCAGCCCCTGGCTGCCACTGTTCTGTCTCTGTGAAGTTCACCACTCCAGAGCCCTCATATGTGGAACTGTTTGTCCTTTTGTGACCCGTTTATTTTAGTTAGCATAATGTACACTATTCTTAAAAATGGTACTGGGTTTCTGAAATGGATGGACCCATTATTTTGTACAATGTTCCTTCTTCATTTGTTTCTTTTTTATGTCATTTAATTTTCCTTCTGTGTAGCAGTTTCTGTAAGGTAGGAGTTATATCTAAAGACTAGATTCAATTAAACATTTTTGATGAGACTACTTCATAAGGTGGCAGTATGTGGTAAGAATAGTTTTCACTTCTAAAATGACTTTTTTGGGGGGTGGTTTTTTTTTTGTCTTTTTAGAGACAGGGACTTGCTGTGTAGTTCAGGCTGGCCTCAAACTCGTGTAGCTCAGGCTCTCCCAAGTGCTGGGATTACAGGCATGCACCGTCATGCCCAGCTCTAAAATGACTTTTGAAAATGGCGTTTTCTTCAGTGAGACTCAGATTAGGAATAGTTTATTAATCCAAATTTCCATACATTGCTAGAACCCTCTCTTTGCATTTTACGATGGCCCAAATAGGTGCAGAGCTCAGTCATAATTATTTTGCAAGCCCAGGTATGCCAGCTGTTCCAGACAGAGTTAGCATCTCCTTTGGGGGAGTTCACTGACTCTTAGAATAAGGATTCACTAACAGGTTAAGAGCAGTCATTCTGTTCCACCTTAGTAAGTCTCCATTTTATTTCTGTTTTGTTTCAGTTGCTGCATAGATTCTGGAACTGCTGGCAGTCTCGGATTGAGCAGAGGGAAGAAAAAGAGCAGCTCCCTTCATTGAATACAGCCTGGGATCACTACAGGTAGTTCTCCAGCCTTAGCCTCAGCTTCCTAGGATGCTGCGTGATTCTTAACACTTTGCCAGCACCATCACTCAGCATGGCACAAGTTAGTGCTGTAGATTCAGAAAGGCCTTTAAGGGGCCAGGGATTTAGCTCAGTGGTTCCTCAGCTTGCTTCGCAAGCACAAGGTCCCGAGCTTGATCCCTGGTACCACCCCCAAAGAGAAGAAGAAGAAGAAGGGAGAGACCTTACTGTAAACCTGTGGTCCTTCGATTACCTTTTGCTTTTGGCTGATCAGATGGGAGGTAGAATGAGAATTTTTTACGGGGCCGTATCATTGTTCGTCAGGCATTGTGATTTTCACATCTTAGAATTTATGCTTTACTAGTGTGAAAGGGTCAGGCCAGATGGATATTGGTGCCTCAGGCTGGAAGGGCACAGGGAGTGTTCTCAGTGTTTTAGAGCCCAACATTAGGTTAAATAAAAGTACTACATGTCTTTGGGAAAAATTCGCAGTGTTAGGAAGAAGGATAAAATGAAAATGAGAGTTGCCTGCCCTTCTCCTTACAGTTCCTTAGTCTGTCTCTTTCAGTTTAACCACTGTTAACTTTCTTGTTGCAAAAAAATACTCAGTGTGTTCAGAATCCTTTACCTCCCACCCTTTTCTTTCCCTTCTCATTAATTTGCATAGTTACAAGTCCAATCTTGGAGCATTTTAAACAATTTTTTAATCAGTTATTTATTTTTGTTACAGGAGATCAAACCCAGGGCCACCACATACTAAACAGGTGCTCAACCTCTGAATGCCCCAGCCCTTGGAGCATCAAAAAATGAGTAAGAGGGGCCACACATTTAGCTCAGTGGTTCTGCTGCCTGCTTCGCAAGTGTAAGGTCCTGAGTTTCATCCCCAGAACAAAAAAAAAAGCAAAAATCCTAATATTTAACTCAATTCAGAGATTGTCACAGTATAGCATTATAATAAATCTTGGTTTAGAAAACTCAGTGCGACTTTCATTTTCAGTATCACTACATTAAAAGGAGGGTGTCACAGGTGCAGATAGTTCCACAAAACCAGCAAGTTCAGCATCTCTGGAGTATTTGGAGTATTCCATATCTTTTTTGTTGTTGTTGTTGTTGTTGTTGTTGTTACTGGGGATCAAACTCGGGTCCTTGCACTTAGAAGGCAGGCGGCAGAACCACTGAGCTAAATCCCCGGCCCCCCATACATATTTTCTAAGTTCCAAAAATACTGTGCCTTGTGGTCTAGTTAGATTTATAAGAAAGTTAGCAAGGGCTGGAAATGTGGCTCAGTGGTAAAGCACTTACTTAGCATGTGCAAGTTGCTGGGTTAAATCCCTAGCATTGCAAAGAAAGAAAAAGAGAAAAATGTCCAAATGTCAGGAGCTGACAGGTTTCATGTTAGGGTTCAGGTTCTTATTTCCCTATCTCCTAGAATGAAATGGCCCATGGGGTGACTTTAACTCACAAGAAGTAACTGTACCCAGATTTACCTGCCTTAAAAACAAAACAGAAATTTAAAAATCTGAAACGTGCAGGTAGAGATGGGCAGTACTCCGATGCTCTGTGTTTTATTTCAGGATAACATTGCTACACAAGTGTATGAAGTTGTGGTTACATTATACTCAGAAGAGAAGATACAAGCAGGTATGGAGAACTTTAAAGCAGATAGCTCTTCTGCCTGACATTCTTGAATTGGCTTGGGAGGGGCCTGTGCCAAGAGATCCTGCTCTTCTAGTTTGGAAGAAAAGAATGCTGTGAAAAGCTCAAATGTGTTTCAGCCCCTGCTTGTGTTGTCTACTGCACAGTTCTTGTTCCTTCATCTTGCTGGAAAAATGAGAGAAAGCAATGAGTTCTTACCAGCCATTCATTCTCTCTCATACACACACACACACACACACACACGCACACGCACACGCACACGCACACGCACACGCATGCACACACAGATATGACTATGTATATATATCTCCCAGTGCTAGGAATGCAACCCAGGGGCACTCTTACCACTGAGCTTTATCTCTAGCCTGCTCATTCATTCATTTATTTTTATTTATTTATTTTTTTTGTACCAGGGATTGAACTCAGGACCTTGTGCTTGTGCGGCAGGCAACAGAACTACTGAGCTAAATCCCTGGCCCCCGATTCATTCATTTTGAGGCAGGATCTCAGTACGTAGTTCAGGCTAGCCTCAAACTTACTGTGTAGCCCAGGGTGGCCTCAAACTTGCAGTCCTCGCTGCTCCTGGGATTATAGGTGTGCACCCCTAATCCGGATAGCCACTCACTCTGGAGTTGCATTAATTTATTACGTGAGTTAGCGAGCCTGTCATCTCGTGGGACCTTCTAGAGTTACAGGGAGAAATATACAAAGAGGCATAAATACTGTATCCTAGGACTAAACTGTGTCAGACACAGGTGCCGCACTGGGTGGAGGAGGGTGGGGATCAGGATGACAAATCAGTAAGAGATTGAGAAAGCTAAATTGAGTTCTGTTTAAGAAGTATTGTACTTTTTGCACAACTATTCTTCAGACTGCTAAGCACGAGGACACAACTGTGATACACAGAAGGCAGAATTCCTGCTCTTGCAGGCTGATAAGTAGCATAAGGATGGCGGATACTCGTGGCCTTGCAGGCTGGATTTAAAGGTTGGAGGGAGCTGTTTGGAATGTTGAGCCCAAGTAGGATTTCCAGGCCACCTTCACACCAGTGGAGGTGTTTGTGCGGTTGATGATGTCTGCACGAAAAGTGCCCCTCTGGCCACCCATGGCAGTGAATCAGAGGAAAACGCAAACCAGACTCCTCCCACCGTTTTTGTACCGTCCTACCCAGTTTCATCTCCATCTGCTGCTGGACTCAACGCATGAATCTAAAGATTTTGGCTGGCTCCCAATAGTTTTTAGATAGAATGCATTGGGGTTTTTTATTATTATTTATTTTTTATTTTTTTAGTACCGGGGATTGAACTCGGGTCCTTGCGCTTGCAAGGCAGGCAGTGGAATCACTGAGCTAAATCCCCAGCCCAGGAATGCATTATTTTGTTGTTGATTTTTGAGGCAGGGTCTCCCTTTGTAGTTCAGGCCGGCCCTGAACTCACTGTGTATCCCAGGCTGACCTCAAACTGGCATCAGCCTCCCATGTGCTAGGATTACAGGTGTGCGCCACTGTGCCCGGCTGGAGAATGAAGATTTTTAGCAAAGATCCTCTAGGATCTGGTCACTATTTCTCTACCCTTCCTTCTATGACTGCCCCGGCAGTTAGGGTGCTGGCTGTTCCTGAATGTTGCGTTCACAGTCCCTCTTCTCTCACTGGACCCGAGGTTCTCTGTCTCACTACCCTTGAAGCTCAGATGCACCTTCAGCCTCTGCCTATTCTCCCCTGTGTAGGTCATCAGAGCACTCACCACACGGGTGTCTGCTGGCCTCTTCCGCCAGCCTGGAACTCCTTGTGAGGACAGCCTGTTCCTCCTTAGCCCAGCATAGCACTTGGCATAGAACACGCGCTGACTGATACGTGGATGAATGAACAAGTTCGCTGCCGCTGCTCATGTCAGAGTTTTGTGTATTTTTTTCTGAAGGATCACCTTTGTTGTGGGAGTTTAGATGGCTTGGCGTTGGCTTGTTTTGTGTCACTTTGGCCTTCCACGCTTAGAAAATGTTTAGAGTCACTGCATTCTTTGATCTCCTTTTCAATTATATGGCTGTTTCTGAAAGGACATTGTTATTTGTTCTGTTGAATTAATTTAATGCTAGTTCGGTAGAGTGTTAGGAAGCCTTTTATTTAGCAAAAGACTGAGTGCCAGGGTGGAAAATCTGTGTTTATTCTGGTAGAAGGCAGAAGACCTCCTTTCTTTCCTCCTGGGAAAGAGAGCTCTCCTTGACCCTGGGACTTACAGAATTGGGAAAGTCACGGGTCCGGTGTTCGCTCACACACTGCTGCAGCTTGTTCTGCCTTTGAAGGTAAAGTAAGTTTAAAGAATAACAAGTGCTTGGCCGCTTACTTTTTAAAAAACCTTTAACAATCCGAATCTCACCACTTGGTGTAAATATCCCTTTAGCACCTCCGTTCTTTCTGGTTTAGGAAAAGATAAAAATAATTTATTCTGGGTTTTTTCTTATTAAAAAGTAATAGGTACATGTACTAATTTCGCACAAGGAATGTAAACATTATGTAGTACACACATGTAGTAATAAACTAAAAAAAAATCATAGATGCGGCCAGGGATTTAGCTCAGTGGTGCCACTGTCTGCCTCACAAGCACAAGGACCTGAGTTCAATCCCTGGTACCAAAATAAATAAGTAAGTAAATAAAAATAATAATTATGGATGCAGAATGGCAAAATGTTGGCTAACATTTGAAGTTGGAGAATAGGTTTACAGGTATTGACAAGACTGTTGCTTCTACTTTTGTTTACATTCACAAATGCCCATAATAGGGCTGGGTTTAGCTCAGTGGCACCGTGCCTGCCTTGCAAGTGCAAGGTCCTGAGTTCAAGCCCCACTACAAAAAAAATTTTTTTCTTGGACCATAATAAAAAAGCAAGATTCAGACATAGAAAGGCATAAAAAGAAGAGGAAAACATACTTACAAACTTGCCTTTTAAGAAGACATTTGGTCATTAAGCCCGTATCTTCCTCTGATTGTGTTGAAGTGCTTGTACCCATATATTCATATACGTGCACATGCACACTATTTCAGTTATCTGTCGCTGTGTTAAAAATCATCCCAAACTCTGGCATAAACCAACCACCGTAGTATTCTGTTTAAGGATTCTGTTGTTCAGAAATTAAGGCAAGACATAATGGGAAGCTGGACATAGTGACACACACCTGTAATCCCAGCTACTTGGGAAGCTAAGGCTGGAAGATTGCAGTTCGAGGCCAGCCTGGGCAATTAGCAAGGCCCTGTCTCGAAAAGGGCTGCAGCCGCAAAGAGGTAGAGCCCTTGGCCTAGCGTGTGTGAGGACCTGGGTTTAATCTGTAGTTCCGGGCTATGGGAAGCCAGGTGTGGTGGGACACACCTGTAATCCGGCTACTCAAGAGGCTAAGTGAGGAAGATGGGAAGTTTGAGGCCTACCTGGACTACATAGTGAGCACTAGACTCAGAAATAAAGAGGTCTGGGGATGTAGCTCATGGCTTCTGGTTCCGTCTTCTGTACTGAGAAAATAAAACTGCAAATTCATTGATCCTCTTTTATTGGGAAGTGGATCTGGGTGGGACTACAACTGCTTTGGCCAAGAAACCATGGTCAGAGTGATACCAGATGCCTGCCAAGGCCACATGAAGGGCCATATACCTGTTTTGTCTACTGGAGCAATTGCTTCTAAACCCCTGATGTCTGGCTACCCCAAGGCCACTGTGCTGTGAGATAGCCCACATCTCCTGGTAACACCCAATATAAACTCTCTGTTAGCACTCTGAGTTCGGTCCAGTCTCTGAGTCATTCCGAGCCAGGAACCACACATACATGGAAATGCTTCTGCACAATTAGGAGCCCTTGACATTAGAATCTTCCCAGCCAAGGCCCCAATAATCCTGGAGTAGACACTAACCATCCCTACTATGTCTTTTTTCTTCGTGCATCTTTTTGTGGGGGACAAGGGATTAAGCCTTTGCACTGAGCAACATCCTCAGGCCCTTTTTTTCGGTGTTTTTGAGATGAGGTCTTGCTGTGTACTTCAGGCTGGCCTCGTACTTGTTGCGATCCTCCTGCCTCAGCCTCCCAAGTGCTGGAATTACAGACATACGCCATTGTCCCTGGCCTACAACCATGTGTAAAGGCTCCTTCTCATGTGTATATGATTTCCTTCCTAGTGTTTTAGATGATGGAGGTGTATCTGTTTGTCATTTTACTGATAAATTAATAAAATAACCTTTCATAATTGCATAAAAAGTTGAAGAATCTATATGGCAAATAGATGCTACAAACACATGACAAATGACTAATAAAGTTAAGGTTCAAAAACTCATACAGGTCATTGAATTAAATACTGACAGGCAGATAAAATAGCCAGGGGGCATGAACACCTCAAGCAATGAGGAAAAAATTTAGGTGTACGTGTGTGTGTTTATGTAAATATATGTGAAGAGTTGGTCAGGTCACATGTAATTAAGGTCACGGGTAAGGAAGGGAATATTTTTTGTCTCTTTCATTTCTACCTAGTATACTGACAAAAATCAAACATCACAATTTTTATCTTTTTATCAGTTTCATTGTTCAGCGCGGGTGACCCTGAAAGGTGATTTGGTGAGAAATAAAAATGAAGCACAAAAGCCGTTCATTATTTCACTTTAGCTCCTGCGGGTCAGAGCAGATGGTCACTTCCGGCAGAGAGCCCTGCCTGCTGCTTTCCACACATGGAGTAGGCTCTGGCGATGGCACCAGCGGGACAGCGCCCTCGACGCCAGAGCGGTGTGTTTTCACAGGTAGGCCGTGCCCTTCCCGTCTGCTGTGCGGGAGCCCTGTGCGGCGGGTTTCAATCTCCTGCTTCGTGCTGTGGTGCAAGGTGAGAAGAAAGACGCACAGAGTTAGAGACAGATACAGGGAGCCGGGACGTCCAGGCCTTGTGCTGTCAGAGGCAAGAGCAAGCAAACGCCTTGAACTCCTAGAGCTGTCGACGTGTGCTGGGGACATCGTAGTTAGATAGGGCGAGGGGGCCACATGAGGGAACGTGTAGTTGCTGTGGACGCGTTGCTAGCGCAGGCCAGGCTTGTAAAGGAAGACACAAAGCATTTTGGAATTAGGAATGGAACAGACAAAATACAGGTTGTGGTTAGTAATTAACCTCGTCTTTTTGGTAAAGAAGGTTTTAACTATGGGAACAGAACTAGGGTGCGAGTCGCTCTGACCTCGGCACGTAGGCATTGGTCAGACTCACTTCTATAAGTGGCCAGGTATGGGGCTAACTCTTTACAGTCTGCTCTGTTTGCAGGCTGCTTTGGGCAGAATCAGTGGGGTGGTCCCATGTACTGTTGGTTTCCTCTAACAGGAAGAAACAATTGTTTCCTGTGGGAAACTTTCTTTCATCTTTATTGCAAATGCTTTTCAAATAGCCTGTGTTTTAAGCCCCATCCTCATTTCATGAGGCTGAAAACTCCATTACAGACATCCACTAGCTTTCTAGATCCGCATAGTAGGACCTGGCCTGCCCTTGGCAGGAATTCTCTTTTTTTTTTTTTTTTGAGACACGGTCTCACTACATAGTTGAGACTGACTGAAACTCACTATGTAGCCCAGGCTAGTCTTGAACTCACAGCGATCCTCCTGCCTCAGCCTCCTGAGTGCTGGGATATCAGGCATGCACCACCACACACAATGTAGCCCAGTAGTCTTGAACTCACAGCGATCCTCCTGCCTCAGCCTCCTGAGTGCTGGGATATCAGGCATGCACCACCACACCCAGCTTGGCAGGAATTCTTGAGTGTGGTTTCCCTGAAATGTTTAGTTGCTGTTGTAAGACAGCCATTTTGTACTCTTAAAATTATAGTCATCTGAGCCGGGGATTCAGCTCAGTGGTTCTGCCACCTGTCTCGTAAGCGCAAGGACCCAAGTTTGATCCCTGGTACCAAAAACAAAGAAAAAGAAAAAAATATATAATCATCAACAAAATTAGAAAAATCTAGGAACTGCCCTACATCTTTTTAGCCCTCATAGGACTAGTGGGTCCTTACTGTATGTTGGCAGAACATAATGAAGAAATCGTTGATTACTAATTGTATCAGCCACTGTGGGTTGGCATTATATGATGAAAGAAATATATAACCTCATTCTGCCTGTGACATAATTATCTTCATTAATAATTTCCTCCTCATAGCCCTGAGAGAACAGATTGAGGGTGATAAATGTCCTATCTGTGGTAATACAGTCAGTAAGTGGTAGAGCCAGGATATAAATTCTTATCTCCCATTCCAAAGTCCAGGCGCTTTCTAGCTGATCAAGAGAAAGATCTCTTCAATGACTTTTTTTTGGTACCAGGGATCAAACTCTGGACCTTGAGCTTGAGAGGCAGGCAGCAGAACCACTGAGCTAAATCCCTAGCCCACTTCAATGACTTTTTAGGAGCGTAAGCTCTGTGTGTGTGTGGTATAAGGGATTGAACTCAGGACCTTGTGCTTGTGAGGTAGGCGCGGTGCCACTGAGCTAAATCCCTAGACTGCGTTTAAGCACTTGTGAGAAGACAAGGCCTCGTACAATTAAAAACCAAGACTAGGGCCAGGGATTTAGCTCAGTGGCACCACGCCTGCCTGGCAAGCACAAGGTCCTCAGTTCAATCCCCAATACCAAAAAAAAAAATCTCTGAATCCCCAGTTATGTCAGGTACCAATTCTTCTAGAGCTCAGAGCTAGTTCTGAGGGTGGCTGGAAAACGTAAGAGTGCAGTATGTGGGGGCCGATGGGGTGAGGATGGAGGGCCCAGTGGGTGTTGGGCTGACCCTAGGGACAGGTGATGTCCAGCTGTGTGGATGCGTGCGTGGATCTGGTAAGGTGACAGTTGGGAGAGCATCCTGGGTGCAGTGCACATCAATTTAAGTTGGAGACACTGGGGGGTGGGGTGTGCAATAGGAAAAATTGTGGTGATCTTGAATTTGGAAGACTCCGGTGCTGGTTTGAGAAGATCACCCAGAACTCTAGAGTGCCTGAATATAAGTCCAAGGAGGTGATTTTAAGAGGTAGTTTCAGGGAATACAGGCTACCAGAGCATATCTTCTATCTCTGAGCTCTTCTGCAAAAGGGCAGCTTTCCCTTACGTGATTCCTACATTGTGGTCTGGTGTAAGGTCCGTTTGAGAAATGGTTTTCGTACTGAAAACATACACGTTCCTTTGTTTCTGTTGCACACAAGTAGTCAGTGCTTGCTTCTGTTGCTACGTGTATTTTGCATGCTGTGGGAACAAAAATTTTAAGTGTCTTGAAAGTTGCCGGAACGAAACCTCTACAAGGCTTTTTGCTGGGGAGCAGGCTTGCTTGGGTATTTTGGAGCTCTCACTGGAGACAAGAGGCTGGCAACTGAATAGAGACAGGAGGTAGCCAGGAGTCTTGAAGGATGGGGAAAAGGTTTTTGGTTTTTTGGTACCGGGGATCGAACTCGGGTCCTTGTGTTTGTGAGGCAGGTGGTGGAACCACTGAGCCAAATCCCCAGCCCGATTTTGTTATGTTTTGGTGGTTTGAACTTTTTAGGAAATTTAGTCTTTCAGGTTTCCTCCTTCCTGGTTTGTGAGAGAGCAGAGTAATCGAGAGAGTAGTGGAGAAGCTCAACGGGCCTGAGTTCAGACCTTCGCTCTGCCACCTGGCAACTCTGTGGCCTTGGGCTGATCAGTGACTGTGCACTTCAGTCTCCTAGAATGTGCAGTGGGGATGGTTAGGTAATAGTCCCTGTGTCATCGGTTGTCATGAAAACCAGATGAGAGAATACGTGTCCAATACTAGCAGGGTGCCCCGCACAAAATATAACAGTTTCCCTAACCACTAGAATCAGTTTGATTTGTAACTTTTATGTTAAGTAAATTTTCGTAACTTTGGCTTGGGGTTTAATAAATTAAAATTGCAAATATCTATCTTCTGTAATATTAGGATATTTGCTTATACAGACAGAATTATTGTGGACTCTGATTATGAGTGAAAATGATAATTTGTGAAACTTATATATTGAGATATATTGAGAATGATGGGGAAGATGCTTGCGGGGTGGGAGATGGGAGAAAGTAAAATAACATTTTGTTTTTGTTTTTGTGGTAGCAGGGATCGAACTCGGGACCTTGCACTTGTGAGGCAGGTGGTGGCACCACTGAGCTAAATCCCTGGCCCCTACATTTATTTATTTTTAACCCCCCCCCAAAAAAAAATTGAGAATGAAGTGAAACTGACTTCTCTGTAAAAAAAAAAAACTGATATAAAACTTATATGCAGTGAAAGGCACAAATGTTAAGCAGTTTGATGTAGTTTCAGGAATTATGCACCTGGATAATCAGTACTCTAGTTAGCATATTTCTATTTCCATCACCATTGAATTGCCTTGGCAACTTTGTTAAATCAGAGCAGGGCAAGTGGCTCATGCCTATAATCCCAGCACTTGGGAGGCTGAGGCAGGAGGATTGCCATGAGTTCTAGGCCTGTCCGGGTTACATAGTGGGTTCAAGGGCAGCCTGGAATACATAGTGAGACCCTGTCTTTAAATATATATACATCTATCTATCTATCTATCTGTCTGTCTATCATGGGCCAGGGATTTAGCTCAGTGGTGCCAACACCTGTCTGGCAAGCACAAGGCCCTGAGTTCAATCCCTGGTACCAGAAATCCCCAGCTGGCCCCATAGTTTGTATCTATAAACTTTCTCCTCTTTTCTAATTGTTTGGGTAGCCTATTATTACCATGCTGTCTTGATATCTGTATCTTATTAGCAAGTTTAAAAATTACATAGCCTTTCAACTTTATTATCTGTCAGGATTTTGTCTAGTCTAAGTCTGTGCATTTCCATATAAATTATAGAATCAATTTGCCAGTTTGTTTGGGATTCTATTGGATATAGTGTTTCTCTTTAAAGTTCATTTTCCAATTATCTGCTCCTAGTCGCTAGAATATAATTGGTACCTTGTATTTCCTTGACTTTTTAAAATTCACTTATTAGTTTAGCGGTTTTTTTAAAATTTCATAAACTGTAGTTCAGGCTGGTCTTGAATTCACTAGGTAGCCCAATCTGGCTTCAAACTCATGACGATCCTCCTGCCTCAGCCTCCTGAGTTCTGGGATGACAGGTGTGCGCCACCGTAGCTGGCAGAAGTAGTAGTCTTTTATATTTAGCCATATATTTTCCCTTTCCAATGTTCTTCATTTCTCACTGTAGATTTTAGTTCTTTCTTTTCCTTTCATCCTTTGGCATATTTATAGTGCAGGTGAACTGGAGATGAAGTCAGCTTTTGTTTTTGATCTCTCCAGCCTCTGGCGTCTCTTAGTCCTGCAGGAGCTGCCCTCTGCTAGGTCTCAGAGGATCTGTAGGTTCAGCCCTCATCTGAGGACCAGTGACAACCTCAGTAAAATTCTATTTAGCGCCCTCTTCTCCAATTCCCTGCCGCCAGCCTTCAGCAATGTTGAGTTCCAGTCTCTCCCTTTTCTTCTCAGTCGTTGTGTTGTACTTGGTTTCCTTCTCCTTTACCCTCCAGGATATACTCCCAGGCACCAACTCTGGGCAGCCTAAGGGTTTGCATATTTCTTGAAAACATCATTGTGTACTTGCTGTTGTCTGGTGTATGGAAATTGTTGCTTTTAAAAATTAATTAGTAGCCTGGGGTGCAGTGGCCCGCGCACGGGAGGCTGAGGCAGGAGGATCGCTGTGAGTTCGAGACCAGCCTGAGCTACATAGTGAGTTCCAGGTCAGTCTCACTACATAGTGAGACCCTGTCTCAAAAAATAAAAAATTAATTAGTTAGTTTGTTTATTTATTTATTTAGACAGGGCCTTGCTATATAGTCCTGAGTAGCCTTGAATTTACTGTGTATCCCAGGCTTTCTTCAAACTAAAAGAGATCCTCTTGCCTCAGCCTCCGGAATGCTGGAATTACAGGCATGCACCACCACATCTAGCAGTTTCTTTAGTTTTGCAGTATATGTCTGGAGGGCAGGTCTAAGACTGCATCGTTGTTAACGGAAGGAACTGGCGAGTGACACAGAGGCAGCAGAAGGGGAGTAAAACGTTTACTCCATCGATGGGGATCCATGACACCTAATGGCGGTGCCCCTGATCATCCAGTGCTGGGCTACAACTCCCCTTTTATAGGGTTTTACAGCCTCGTCTCATTCAGGTGGTTACACTGCAGTTCCACAGTTCACACTGCTGATACTCAAAACAGGTGGCAGGCAGTTGAACTTCAACCCGGATGTAGCCCTTCTCGGTAGGGGAGGTTACCCTTAAGATTTATTGAGTTATCTTTTCTAGCCCAGGGGAAGGGGGTGTGTTTTTGGTCAGCAAAGCTAACAATGGTTCTTTTTATTTACAAAATTTTTGAGGGAGCCTAGATGCCTCCTGTGCCGGTTAATTCTGAACTAAACAGAGAGAGCAAAGGGCGGAAGTTATCTTACATCGGGACATTTTGCAGGGTTTTTGCTGTTAAAGTGTTCTCTGTCAGCATGACGGGGCGAAACCCTTTTGAGTGACCTGTGCGGGGCAGCCTTTTCCCCTGGGTCCTTGGCGTTGGTCTTCATAGCTTTGCCTATGTGTAGGCCTCAGTGCCCGCGGTCACTTATCCTGGCTCTGCTCTTGCAAGGTCAGCCGTGGTTAACGGTGAGCACCCAGGCCTAGGCAGAGGTGATGGTGCGGTTCCCACTGCTGCCTGGGTGATCGGTTCACCTGCAGTACTGGTTTCAGAGAATGTCTTCCTGGGACCTGCCCCAGGCCTGTTCATCCAGCCTTGGGGGTCTGGCCCTTTTGTGGGCCAGGGGCTGTTTGGCTCACGTGAGAGACTGTGTGTAATCATTGGTCAGCATTAGTAATTCAGTGTAGAGTTTGTAAAGAACTAGAATCTGGGAATCTCAATCTTTCTCATTCTGTGCAGAAGCTGCTCATTCTGAAAGTAACTGGAGAATTGCTGGAGGTTTTCTTTTTTCTTTTGGCTATTGCTATATTCCTTTCCTTCCTTTGTCTTTAGGGTGTATGAAGGAAAACCCATTTGGAACTGGCAGTTCTCTTGGATTTTTGGTTTTTTTTTATGTTAAGTGCTTTACTCCTACTCATTTTTCCTTCCATGTTTGTTTTTAGGGAGATGATGGAGAAGCAGGTGTTTGCTGTCTGGCGGCAGAAGATGTTTCAGCATCGAGAAAACCGCTTAGCAGAGAGGATTGTAAGTGGCTGTCTCTGAGGAGGCACCTGGAGGGGTAGGACCTGTTTAAGGTCCCTGTCCTCACTGTGTCCCCTCGGAAAGTTGCAGGGAAGCCAGGCCCACGCTGCTGGGCTGGGCTTCCTGAGCCAGGAGCGGGGTCTGCACATCTGGGTTCGGTGCTGTTGGAGTTAACGCACCCTTTCCTTCCCCTTAATCATTATTCCCCCTGACTTCTGTGCCCTGCTCCTGCTTGACCTGTTGTGTGCTCTCCCTCCTTTCCTGCCTCAGGCCGTGCTCCAGGCAGAGCAGCAGCTTCTGCGGGGGTCCTGGTCCTCCTGGCGCCAGCGGGCAGCAGCGCGTCACCAAGAGCGCGAGTGGGAGGCGGTGGCCCGCGCCCAGCACCACCACAGGCAGCTCCGAGATGCTTTCTGTGTCTGGAGGGAGAGGGCCGAGGGGCTCAGAGCAGAGTGAGTGGACTGTTCTGCCTCAGCCTCCCCAGCTTTGAGCACAGCCACACTGTTGGCTCCGTGCCTGCCCAGAGGGTTGTGTTATGCTAGACTGGCTGTAAATTCCAGAAATTCAATCCAAAATGGTCCAGTAAAACCAAGGCCACAGTGACAGGATCCTGGCTCCGAGTGCCTTTGGATCTGGGAGGGCCTGTCCGCTGGCCGCATCTGTTCGCGGTTAGTGCTCATTTGAAATGACGATACCCAGGGAACGGGCCGATGGGCCCGGCTGAGGACAGCCAGCTGCCCCAGGACCGGTGACTGTGGCCCATGGGCAGGTCAGGCCACACCACGTGGCTATAGGGGGCAGGGCAAATGAGCCTTTGCAGAGATCCTCGTATTTCATGCCTTTCTGCGCCCACTGTGGTACCCTGAGAATCTCACTGGCTCCCATACTCTGGTCACGTTCAGCCCCCTTTCAGCATGCCTGCACGTGAGAAAGCATACGCTTCTGGAGCTCCCTGAATTTATGTGCAAACCTTTGTATGTGCTCCCCTCTGAGGAAGAGCCCAAATCCTGCTCTTCAGAAACGACCCGACCCCTCCCTCCAGAAAATATTCACTACTGTGAACCGGAGCCAGCAGGAGGCTGGTCTGGGCTGCAGTGCTAAGTTCCACTTGCCTCCCTGCAGGAGGATGAGCAGGCTGCAGGCCGCACGATTCCACTCAGCGCAGCTCCTGTGCTGGGCCTGGAGCCGGTGGAGGGAGGTAAGACTGGCACCACCCGAGTGTGGCTTTTGGACAGGTGGAGCTGTGGATCGGTGTGACTCAGAGCAGACAGATGGGCCCTGGGCAGAGACTTGGAAGCCACCTGCCCCTGAGCCGGGGGAGGAGGGCAGGCAGCAGATGAGACTGAGATGTGTCCTCACTCTTGTGAGATGATATTGGCTCAGGGCGCCGTGTTCTTTTAGGTGCCGGGCTGTTCTTATCTGAACTTTCTGAATCTAAAATTCCTCACGTGACCTTTACAGGAACCCTACTAAATGTGTAAAATTTTAAGCCGACACCGATCGGGCGTTTACTGTAAGTCAGGCAGTTGCCCTCATCTGATCCTCAGAAACTTCGGGAAGGGTGTGCTGCAGATGAGGCACGCCCGGAACTCGGGCCACCCTCAGCCCACAGTGGTGTGCTGTCCTCTGTCCACAGAGGCTGGCCCTACGGGAAGCCGAGCGGCAGAAGCTGATGCGGGCGGACCTGCACAGCCAGCGTTCCGTGCTGCAAAGAGCGCTGCAGAAGTGGCTGGTAGCACCTGTTTCCCCTCGACCTCCTGTGCTAGGGCGGGGGAGGCTTCTGGACAGTTTCCTTTTCCTTCCAGCACCTTCCCCAGAGTAATCTAACAAGCCTCAAATAGAACACATGGCCCAGACCACAGGTTTTATAGCTACGGGGTCCATCAGTCATTGCTGGGCTGTGAAAACAGTGAGCACTAGCTTGATAGGAAAAGTGGCTTCGTGTCCTGGGGTCCAGGGGCTTGACCTGTTAGGTAAGGGCCAAGGGGGCCCGACTTGGGGTCAGGGGCGGTCCGCTGGCTTTGCAGCAGCAGCGTCCGAGCTCCTCTCACCTTTGTGAGCGCTGTGGGTGTATGAGTCCGCCTCGCAGGCCCAGCTGGAACGAGTGGCCTCCGGTCCTCATCCTCCGCAGGCTTACCAGGGCAGGGTGTGGAGCGTCCTACAGGAAGTGACCGTCAGGGAGAGCCAGCACAACAGGCAGCTCATGCGGTAAGTCTCCCATGTCCTGTGGGCACAGGCTGAGGGGGAAGAACAGCTGCAGAGCCAGACATTGTGGGGAGTCCTGTCCGGGAGGCGGAGGGTGGGCCTGGTGCCTCGGCACTCCTAGGGTAGTTCTGGCTTTTTCACAGCAAGCACTGCATTTACCGGCTCACCTCAGTGTGCCTTGAACTCTTGCAGTGTGGAGGGCCGTGTTGGAAGGAGAACCCCGCATGGCCTCCCACTCGCCTGCTCCTCTGAGTGTTTCTCTCCCTACTTCCACTGGCACACTTCAGCCTCTTGAGACCCCTCCACATCTCCTCTCCTGCCTCGGGAGCCGGTAGCATCCCCTTTCCTGTCAGCTCCCAGGCAGCCCCTCCTAGCTGGCTCCTCAGTCACCTCCTAGCCTTCTAGGACCATTTGCCTCTCTCGGCCCTTGGAGGACACTTGTGGTACGTTTTCCACTCTTTCTAAGCCAAGCTGTGTTGCTCTTTCCAGGGGGGCTTCGCTCTGTTCCCTCTTCTTTTTTTAATTTTCTTTGGTATTTGTTTAGCATATGCTCTTCTGGATTACTGCAGAAGCGAACCTTGTGGGCTTTAAAAACTTCTGTCCTCCTCCTGGGGTTCCGTAAAGCATCATTTGATCCTTTGGACAGCTGGGATAAGGAAGAGGGCCTCCCCAGGCTTAACTCCGCAGAAGCGCGTGCTTGGGTCCCCAAATCTCTACCTCTTAGCACACAGTGAATCACCTGTGTTGGCGTTGCCTGGCTGTGGGTCTGCAGTACGTGAACTCAGGAGGATGAATCCTAAATAGTGGGCATGACTCTGGGTGTCGGGCCAGCGGATGCTCTGAGGCAGAGTCCTTGCTCGGGAGTGGGGCAAGAGTAAGGAGGGCTTCACAGAGCCGTTCACATCCCTCCACGTGGGTCCTGCCTCTCCTGGCCTGTACACCCATAGGTGGGCGTTACATCGCTGGAGGAAGAACGCCATGGCCCGTGCAGATGAGGCCAGAAAATCCTCTCAAGCAAGAGCCCACTACAGAAGGACCCTGTATTCCAAGGTGAGGTACAGGGAGATAAGGTGGTCATGCAGAGGGCTTGGAGACCATGTTCCAGCCGGGGTGTGGGGCAGAGGATGATGCCAGAGAGTAGCACTGAATAAGGAACCCAAAAATGAGTGACCCCTGTAGCATCCATCCCTGCATCTGTGTCTGAAGATATTTGTACTTCTACTGAGTTTTGAACCTGTATCCATTAAAATAAAAACATGCCAGGCATGGAGGTGCATACCTGTAATCCCAACTCTCGGGAGGCTGAGACAAGAAAAGTGTTTGGGTCAGCCTGGGCTACACAGTGAATTTAAGGCTGGCCTGAACTACATAGCAAGACCTTGTCTCAAAAAGCATGCTACGTAGCAGCTTAACTGGTTCCTATCGAAACCAGGGTCTTCCACACACATGGAACTTGCCAGCGGGGAAGTAAATTACTGAGTTTCTGTCTCCTCATCTGTCAGAAGAGAGGATGCTCGCAGTCTCACAGGTCCCAACGCCACAGAGCCTTGCTGGGAATAGATCCCGTCATCGATGGTGGGAAGCGCCCTCCGACCTCCACCTTGCTTCCTTGACTGGGACGGACGTGGGGAAATGCCCCGTGGTGTGGCTGCTTCGGTGCTCTGGGCAGGGAAGTTGACGGGACACGGCAGTGGGAGGCAGCCGTGTCACCGGGGGGAGTTCAGGCCCTTGGAGCCACAGGAAGTCCACACTCCCCAGATGTTTGAGGGGAAAGCCCTGAGCGGTACCGGTTCACCTGGCAGCTGTGAACATTCTGTGGGGAGGAGCAGCTCCATCTGCTCAAGGCCAGCCCGTATTGCCTGTGTTTTGAAAGGACAAGAAGCTGCTTGCTTCAGGGCTCGGAGTATTGAGGATTGAACTCAGGGATGCTCTACCACTAAGTTACATTCCCCGCCCTTTTAAAGTTTTTAGACATTTTTTTTCTTTTTTTCACCTTTTTTCCTTTCCCTCCTTTGCCCTTATTTCCTGTCCCCTCCCCTTCCCACTTCCCATTAGGGAAGGGTGAAGGGAGGGCCAGGGGTATGGGGAAAAAATAAGAACCCAGACTTAGCATCTGAAGGTACCAGATCCCAATGGTAAATTCACTGTATTGTTTGCTTTAAATGTAGCAATAAACTTAATGGGGGAAATTTTTTTTTTAGATAGGGCTTTGGGGAGTTGCACAAGCAGGACTCAAAACTTGCAGTCCTTTTGCTTCGGCGTCTGAGGAGGAGGCCTTTTCAATAGGAGTGGACTGGGAGGTGGGATTAGAAACAGCCTGACTTTTTTTTTTTTTTTTTTTTTTTGT